CCCCCCCCCCCCCGGTGCCTCTCCTGCGCGGAAATAGGTCATGTGGCTAGATACTGTCCAACAGTGGCCCAACCGAAACCTCAGCAAGATCAGAACAACCATAGTCAAAATCAGCATGAAACCATGACTAAAGGAACCAAAAAGCTAGTGGAGGACAAGATCACCCAACAACCCGCAGCCTCAACTGATCAGGAGGAGAAGAATCAGGAGAATCAGAGACAAAGATCCACCAAGGCTACTGCAACTGAGAAAACAGAGGAGAGCCACGAGGTGTACAATCAAGTGCTAAAGAATGAAGACAACAAGCTAGATCATGCAAAATCCAGCCCCAACAGCCAACCTCAGTCGCAGCCAGTAGAACCCCCAAAGTCAGCAACAGAAACGACGGGCAAGAGGATGACAAACAGGACTGCAGCCAAGACACACAAAGCCGAACCCGGTGACGCCAACTCCACTCGTGGCCGCAAGGCCACGAGGAACCGCAGTTAGAAACATCGCACTTCCATGATTTTTGCCTGGAATATTATAGCTCTAAACGGCCGGAATAAGTATTATTTTACTCGCAATTGGATTGCCGACAACAAATTTCTTTTTGGTGCTTTGTTAGAGACACACATCAGAGAACCAAATGCTGTGAGAGGACTGCTAGCTTTTCCGAATGGCTGGAAAACTTTCTGTAATTACGCCGATGATCGTTCAGGCCGTATACTGGTGGGTTGGGATCCGAGCGCCACTGTCACCATCTACCAAACAAGTGCGCAAGCAGTAACCTGTGGTTTTCACCATCCATCACTCCAATGGTCATTCACAGCCACCTTCGTGTATGCTGACAACTCCGTAATTGAGCGGAAAAGGCTATGGCAGCAGATAAAGGAGCTATCTATATACCCTCTGCTAAAATCAACACCATGGATAGTCTTGGGGGATTTTAACCAAACACTAACCCCGTCAGACCGTTCCGACTATCCTATAAGTACTGTTGCCCCCCCAAGCATGACGGAATTTGTCGAATGTCTGACATCTTCACACCTAGCAGATATTCCATACCAAGGATTGCGTTACACCTGATGTAACAACCATGTTATTGACCCGATATCAATAAAACTAGATAGGATTCTCGGAAACCAAGTCTGGCTCACCGACCATTACTCTATATCAGCAGAATTTGGGAACCCCGGTCCATCAGACCACGCCCCAGGAATCGTCAGGCTGCCGTCCACAATGACACGGGTAAGAAAACCGTTTAAATTCTTTAACCATCTCTTACTAGCTCCTGAATTTTTGCAGACTGTCTCGGACTGCTGGGGCGAGAATTCCACTACAGGCACGGCCCAATTCCTCTTATGTTCTCGCCTGAAGATGCTCAAGTCACATCTTAGGAGGCTAAACAAGACCTCATTCAGTGATATCTCGAAGCGAACTCAAGAGGCCTACGACAAGCTAACAACAACTCAAGCAGCATTGTTCGAAAGCCCTTCCACTGCCCTAGCCATAGAAGAGCAGAGACTGCGTAGACACTGGAATATACTAGCTGCGGCCGAGGAACGATTCTACAAGCAGAAGTCTCGAATCTGTTGGCTGAAAAACGGAGACCGGAATACAGCTTACTTTCATCGGGTCACAAAGGCCAGGAACGCGCGCAACAAATTTAACTACCTGATCACTCAAGAGGGACAACGATTAGACGAACCTGAGGACATAAAAACCCACATTATTGGCTACTATCAGCAGCTCCTCGACACCAGCCGAAAACAACCGGGGGGGGGGGTTCCATGGACAGACTTAAGAAGCTCCTCGGAGTCACTGGCCTCGACAACTACATGCAAGGATTGCTCTCCATTCCAACAGCAGCAGAAGTGCAAAAAACACTGACATCCATGCCGAATAATAAAGCGCCCGGACCAGACGGTTACCCCAAAGAGTTCTACGTCAATACATGGAGCATAGTGGGTGATGGCCTAGTTAAAGCGGTGCAAGAGTTCTTCAGCTCGGGTCAAATGTTAGGCCAAATCAACGCCACAATGATTTCCTTGATACCGAAGCGAACGGGAGCAGATTCACTAAGTGATTTCAGACCAATAAGCTGCTGCAACACCATATACAAGATCATATCTTCAATCCTTGCAAGCCGACTAAAACCGATTCTAGAGAAGCTGATTTCACGCAACCAGGCAGCCTTCTTAAAGAGACGACTAATGCTTGAAAACATACTCTTGGCTGCTGAATTGATCAGGGATTACAATCGACCTTCTGCCCAACCGCAAGCGATGCTGAAAATTGATATTCGGAAGGCTTTTGACACAATCAAGTGGAGCTTCATCACCAAAATACTTCATGCCATCGGCCTACCTACCACTTTTGTAGGATGGATCAAGACATGCATAACAACACCTAAATTCTCTATATCGGTCAATGGAGAGCCGGCTGGATATTTTCCAGGTGGAAGAGGACTTCGCCAAGGGGACCCGATCTCACCATACCTTTTTATACTGTCCATGGAAGTTCTATCCAGAATGCTTGATGAATCTGCTCGGCAGGGGAAGCTCAAGCCACAGCAGGGTTGTGTAGACCCGCTGATAACTCACCTATCCTTTGCAGATGACGTTATCATCTTCTCCGCAGCAAATAGAGAGTCCATTACGGAGATAAAAGATGTGCTCTACCAATTCGAGAGTTTCTCGGGCCTTAAAATTAATCAAAGCAAATCAGACCTCTTCATCTGTGGTTTACCGGAGGCAGAAGCATCGAACCTAACATCATTATTGGGAATTCGTCGCGGGAATCTTCCGATACGCTATCTAGGGGTGCCGTTAAGCCCGTGGAAACTCAGCAAGCAAGACTACCAACCGCTGCTTGATAAGATCAACTCGAAAATCCAATCCTGGACAACCATCTTCCTCTCTTATGCGGGCAAGGTACAACTCATCTCCTCAGTCATTTACGGTTTATTAAACTCATGGAGTTCGGTGTTTCTGCTTCCAAAGTACTTGATCAAACAGGTTGACAGCATATGCGCCAAGTTCTTATGGAAATCCGGTAACACGGGAGCTCACAGGGTCTCTTGGGCGAACATTTGCCTACCGAAAATGAAAGGCGGGCTAGGGCTCCGGAAGCTAGAAGACATAAACACCTCAGCCAGGTTGAAGCTAGTTTGGCTCCTCTTCGCCAACTCGGGATCGTTATGGGTCGCCTGGGTCCGCAAACATCTACTGAAGCGTAAGTCCTTCTGGACAACAAATCCCTCAACACGTCACACACGTGGAACTTCCGCAAGCTGCTCCGAATCAAGGAGAAGGCAAGAGCTTTCCTCAAGATGAAGATAGGCAATGGCAAAGACACATTTTTCTGGCTGGACAACTGGAGTAGTTTCGGACCGCTGATTGAATATATTGGAGACGAAGGACCGCGAAGAATGCGAATCCCATTGCACGCACCAGTGATCTCAGCCTCCACCGAACTCGGCTGGAACCTTCCACCTGCAAGATCCCAATAAGAGCAGCACCTACAAGAAGCACTACTTATGACTGAAGCACCATCAGCGACTGATGTAGACGATCAATCCCTCTGGAAACACGACGACAATGCATTCAAGGACTGTTTTAACACGGCAGCAACCTGACGACAAATTAGGCAGCCTGCAGCTACTGTAAATTGGTGGAAGGTTGTATGGTTCAGACACGTAACGCCGAAGCATGCACTCATCCTATGGCAAGCTTTCTTGGATAGGCTGCCAACCCGAGATAGACTACATCGATGGGGAGTGCAGGCGGAGACGTCTTGCTGCCTATGCTCGACAGGGGAAGAGTCCCACCAACACTTATTCCTTGAATGTCCGTTCAGCTCATCCGTCTGGCAATATTACGCATCACGCTTTGGCTCAGAACCACCGCACCAACTCCACCTCTATCCAGATTGGATCGAAGCCCTCCGGAATGACCCCAATCGCCACAAGCGAACCTTGACACTAATTGCTCTTCAAGCTACTGTCTACCTTCTTTCGCGTGAAAGAAATGACAGAATCTTTCGCTCCCGACACCAATCCGCTGAGGTAATGAAACATAGGCTTGACAGACTCATCAGGAACATCATACTGGCCCATCAATCAGGCCCCAGCCAGCAGAAAAACACCCTCTTACAAGCTTGGTTCTATCTAACAAGGCCACCATGATTACCATAGGAAAATCATCCCTCTTTTTTGTTAGCTTAGCTCATGGAAGTGTAAGTTTCTTTTGTTTTCTCGGTAACAAAAAACCGATATGTAACTTCTTCTTGACGTAAATAGATTCACATTTCATCAAAAAAATAATAATAATAATATGAGAAAATTTTATATAATATCTCAACTTTACAAAATATGATAAATTAATACCTAAACTTTTAATTTTATCTAATCGATACATCAAATATTAAAATTTTCTAAATTGATATTTTAAATGTTGAAATGTTTCAAATAGATATCTTAACTCATGAAATTGATAGCATTCTCAATTCTGACTGTGATAATGATGTATAAATTAGATGTTACTTTTCAACATAAAAAAATAAAACTCGCGAAATCGATAACTATTTTTAATCTTGACTCTAACGATGATTATATTATATATTAATTCTAACATAAAAAACAAATTGAGGTTATAAATTGCTTTCGATTTTCTGAGTTGGGGTATTTATTTGGAACATTTAAACATTCAAGGTATTAATTTGGACCATTTTAACATTCGAGATATCAATTAGATAAAATAAAAAATTTAGATATTTATTGACATATTTTGTAAAGTTGAGGTATTTATATGTGATTAATTCAAAAGATATTTTAATTTATTTGGTTGATAGGCATGAAGCATGTGTGGTCTGTCTCACAAACCATATCTTTCTATTGCTTTTCCCCACATCTCTTTAAGAACCCTAAACTACATCTTCTTTCTTTCTCTATTGTTTTCTAGTTTGTCCCATTTCACACCACATGCTTACTCAATTATGACGTCATTATTTGTAATCTTTTATTCCGTGCATAACCCGTATTTTCCAACATTATAGAATCTATTTCAAACACTCGATTACTTTTTTTCCGAATAATTACGTTAGTAAATAATTATTTTCAAAAAAATCATTTTTTTTAGCTTGCGTAAACGATATCTTGTTTCCTCTTTACATCAAACACCTACTAAATGGAATACAAACGTGGAACTCTTTATTCTCGAACGCAATCATATTATAATAAAATATAATAATTACTTGGAAGATAGTAAAAAGTGATTTAAGCTTCAGTAAATTAATTACATTTACACACATTATCGTCCACTTGAACCGATATTTGTCCATCGTGGTTGTTGGAAAAGAAAAACAGGAGCTCTAATAAGTACCCAATGAACATTAGAATTACTTAAGAGAATGACGCATGACAACTTTATATATACACACATATATATAGTTTCAAGATGTATTGTTTACATGAAATATTCAAATTTATCGTTTAAAAGATTGGTTAAAAGCGGAAAATCCCCCAGCTCTGTTGGTTTGAGAACCCCTTCCTGTAAACGAGGTCGTGGGTTCAACACTCAGAGTATGGAGATTCCCCTCCTGCCACCTTCGGGTGTTTCACATCCCATGTGTGTGTTGCAGGGTCGTGCGCGTGGGTCGGGATTAGTCTGAGCCTTTGAGTTTGGGATCACCCGATTATCAAAAAAAAAAAGATTGGTTAAAAACTAAATCTATGATAATAAGAAATTAAATAAAGTCATAATCATGTTAAGGGTTGTAATTCAAATCATAAAATATTATGAAAACATTGTCCGAACGAACATATAAGTGATGCAAAAGTCCATGAAGAAAATCAATATCTAAGTGAAATTTTATTTCATTTGGAATTCGTTGAGGATTGAGACGGAGAGAGAAAAGAGGTGACGTTGAAAGGTACGTGTGAGGTGCAATGTTAGGCCACGGGATATATGATTAGGAATACGACCATTGACAAGAATGTTTGCTTTGGATTTTATAATTTAATACACATATTTTAATAATTGGAAAACACAAAACCCTAAATAAAAAATAGTATATAGTTTCGAAAAACAATAACACTTATTTTTAGTTGTAGAAGAAGAATGTTGTACAAAATTCTAAACACAACCAAGAAATATTGTTTCAAAATATAGAAAACTTTGAAACCGTTAGATTAAGATCTAAATTGAATTCGATCTAAATTGATTGATTTTTTATTTTTTAAATCACATTAATAGAATAAAACTAAAATATAATATGTACCGAAAATGAAATAATATTTTAAGAAAATGAATATTTTTTGTCTAAAATTGAAATAACTCTGAATTGAATTAAAATGTATATAAAAGCAAAATAATATAAGTTTTCTCAAAATAAAAAAAATCTACACATAAAAATAATTGACCTCAAACCAAACATAAATTCAAAATATCAGCATCCTATTTTTTATATTAACTATGATATTTTTTTCATTTCAAATTTATAGGATTTTATTTAAAAAATATATGTATACATTTATTTACGAATTTGGTTTCACATTGTTACGGTGTATAAAAAAAATCAAAGATGGAGAAGATATTTTGAAAAAAATAAAACCCAAAAAGGGAAAAACTCCTAAAAATTCCTGAATTTGCAGAGTGCAAGAAAAAAAATTTCTAAACTTGCGAGACTACCAAATAATTCCTAAACTTGTAAAAAATGTCTCAATAAATCCTAATATTGTAAAAAGGTATTATATTAGTCTTTCGAAAAAACTAATTATAATAATATGATTTTATATCCTACGTGGTAGGTGATATGGCACGCCAAGTATGATTTTTTTTGCCACGTAATCAGTACCGGGTTTTAGAAAACCGGTTTCTTCAGAAAATATTTTAAAATCTCTTAGAGGCATTTCATCGAACCTTTAGTATACACGATGGCTTACACTATGCAAGATGAAACGTTCCATTTGCTCAGGCTTTTAAGCTCTTCAGGATCGACATCCGCTCCGTCTTCCTTGATGTAGATAACGTTCTGTATAGTTTCAGACTCGAGCTTATCGGGGATATCCATAGAAGATGACAAAATCATAACAAAACGCCATCAATGACAGAAGAGTTTATTTTTTAAATTCCGGTACTAATATTCGTGCATAGTAAGTGTTCGATGAAATACGTCTAAGAGATTCTAGAATATTTTCTGAAAAAACCACTTTTGTAAAACTCGGTACTGACTACGTGGCAAAAAAATCATACTTGGTGTGTCATATCACCTGTTACGTATGATATAAAATCATATTATTATAATCAGTTTTTTCGAATGATTAATATATCTTTTAACAAGATTAGTATTTATTGAGATACTTTTTATAAGTTTAGGAATTATTTGGCACTCATAAGTTTATGAATTTTTTTTTTTTTTACTTTACAAGTTTAGAATTGTTTAGGAGTTTTCCCAAAAATAAATTGAAGAATAAGAAAGACACATAAGAGGAAGGGTGTCAATTCAGGCTCTGACTCTGAGGAGTCGAAAGGTGGGGACCACGTGTCAAGGCACGCGCGCACGCCGTGTGGAGCCCATACGTTGACTTTCTTACGGTCATACCAAAGTTGAAACTTCGAAAGTGCTACGTGACGCTCCCGAGTCCAAGTCGTCTTCGCTTCTCATTTCTTACCCATAGAGTCAAATTCCATTAGAATTTTGTTTTTTTATCTTTTTCATTTTTCCAAAGGTCAATTTATATTTCCACATTATTTAATTTTGGTGTTTTACTTTTTTTTTTGTGGCAATCTTGATAATAACGGCATGTTGCGGCTATGAAAGTTAATTTATGTTGCAAATAGTAATCATATTATAATATTATTGATCAACAGATAAATAAATAAAAATTATGAGAAGATGATTTTAGAGCTTGGAATGCCCAAAGACAATTTTTTTTTGGGAGGTGGGGATGGTTCACAACAATTAGTTTTTATATTTTGTTACTGAAAATGTCTTGTTGTAGATCAATAAAATCGAATTTTACTGTTTGATTTTATCAATAGGTCAACACGATTATCTGTAATATAACCGGATGAAGCCTCGCTCTATTTGTTATTTATTTACGTGCGTAAAAATTTTTGTGAATGACGTTACTTGGATACAAATTTTGTGGGATGGAATAAAATATATAAGGTGGAATTATTTTGATCCGATATATTTTGTTTTTTTCAATGGACAAATCATTTCATTGGTAGAAAAAGAGGAGAATAGAAAGGGATAAAATAGCTACCAATGGAAAAAAAAAGATTGAAGAAGAATTTTTTTTTAAAAAAAAACTACAAGAAAATCTTCCACTAAATTTGACAAATGACACATCATTTAGAATCAAAATAAGATATGGAGAGCTCATGAACGATTGTAATAAGATCCACATTAGGGTTGTATGTTATAACAATGATTTTCTATGTAATTAATGCCAATCATGCGTTTAAACGGAGGATGAAATCTAAGATCTTAAACTTATCATCAAAATCTCAAATCCTAATCTCACTGCAAATAATTAGTGCTTTATTGTTGTTATTAGTATCCAACATTATTGTAGCATATTACAGATTTTTTATATTTCGATTTAAAATTTAACGGATCGAATCATTAGAAATTAATACGTTTACAAGATATATTGCACATTTTTACATAAATTAAAGAGTACTATTGTTTAGACCCCCTTTTTTGATGGTCATCTCATTTTCTATATAAGTTATATCGTATATTTGGACATAAACTAAAACTTTTGTTCTATATTATTAATCGGCTACATAATTTTCTACATTTTTTTAACTCTTTCGATTTCATATATGTTAATGGTTCCTCATTATTTTAAGATATTTTTTCTTTAAAAATGTTACACTTATCTTATAAAAAAAACTTTTAAAATTTATTATAAATGCATCAATGACCTTTTGCTTGTATTTTTTTTTTTATTAGAAGTTCAAATCATCGTTACTAATATTCTCTCAATCTTTTAAGTACAATGATCCTTATATATATAATAGCGAGATTTTACTGCTACGTACTTATAAATGGCTGCCTGAGAATATATATATATATACATATATTTAGAACGTTTGGGTTGAGTGCAGAGAGTCCACTGGCCAGATTGCACCAGTAAATAAAAGCGGATTTTAATAATTTTTCTTATAGAAGGATAATCATATATATTAGGAAAAAAATATTATTGCAATATAAAAGAAAAAGATATGATTGAAGAAACGGAAATAGCTCGATTTCATATAGACTCCAGGACGACGTCATCTCTCGACCGTTTTGACGTGTTGTGCATCGGTGAATGCTTTCGGTAAATTTAAAATTTTATAATCTGTATACGGACGTCCATATATATGTACGTAAGCATGTATGTCAACAAGTTATTTTTATTACACACTGTTCATTTCGTCGAATAACTTCACAATAGAAAATTACTGATTTGGATTGACCAAATGAAACTCATTTAATTTATGGTTGTAAATTGACCGGTTTATTCCGGTTCAATTGGTTTTGTTGAAAATTGTGAAAATAAAAACTTTCTAGTTATTCGCCAACAAAAAAAGTAGTGAATACAATTGTTAATAAAAAAATTAGTCAGATACATTTTTTTATATCCAAAATAAATACACGAACTCCTTTGAAAATCTCATAATAATATATAAATTATAAAAGTCAAATAATTACATACGAATTTTTTTAAAACCTCATATTAAACCACGAATTTTCAAAATATTCATCTATAAGTACATTCGTTGACGTCGTTTTATTGACAGAAACGGGTAACAAGACGCCTGCATCGCAATCAGAAAATCCAATCAAATTAATGTCACGTATGAAAACATTGACACGTCATATATTTTTTACAAAAATTTTAAAATATTAAAATACATATACACACATATACATGATTATACATTATATATATACACTTACATGCATACACAAAAAATATGCATGTTTATAAACACATATACACTCATATATATAATATACACATATATACACACATATACATATACACACACATGCATGTTCATACACATATATGTGTGTATAAACATGTATAAGTGTTTGCATGCGGTATGTGTGTGTAAATATATGTGTATATCATGTGCGTACAAGTATATGTGTGCATATATAAGCTAGCATGTATATATCTTTATGTGTATGTAGGCAAGTGTATATATTTGTATGTATATATATGTACTTATAATGATGTATGTGTAGATGTATTTTTAATCTGGTTTCCGGGAAAAGGTTTGTATATAATCTTTGAATTTTTATAGTTCATATATTACCATAATTGTTTTTTCAAATTTCGTGTAATTGTATGGAATTTTGTTCTTTTTAAAATATATAAGTCTCGAATGATCTTTTCAACGCGTAAAAAAAATAAAAAAACGACAAAAAAATAAATAAATAAGTTAAATATTGAAAATAGAGAATCAACAAGGAAATAAAAAAAAGGGGACTTGGCAAGAGAGTCATCATCAGCCACCTGAAAAATGTCAACAGAGACATTAATTCATTAATCTTCTCTAGCCGTATAAACCCTACAAGAAGAGTTAGTGCTCTTTAACACTCTTGAGCTTATCATGATATAAGTATCCGCTTTCATCCAACAAACACTTTCCCATCCGTTCATGTGTTTGTGACTCTCGAGAGAAGAAGGAAAGAAAACAAAAACAGAAAAAAAGAAAACATTTCATCATCATCATCATCATAACGCATAAACTGTGGTTGAATTTCAAAGATTTGGGGGGAAGGAAGCCATGGGAGATGAATTCAGCAACTCGGGTAATGGAAACTGGTGGAAGGCTTCGACCTCGTCTTCATCTTCGACGTGTTTGTCTCCGGGGATTGGCTGCGGAACGTTAGGGGGCTTTGGTTGGGCCCCGGAGACAACGCCCGAGAATATTAATAAAGAGAGATCGAGCTCTATCGAGTCTGGCGGTTCGGTTGTTTTCCTTGATCATAAACTTCATCATGATCCGTCATCTGATCATCATCAACATGTTCAGATGATAGGTTTAGGCCTTTCTTCCCAACCCTTTGATCAATGGAACCAATCCCTTCTGTGAGTAATTTCATGATATTGCAGCCGATTGTAATTTTGTAAATACCCTTTTGAAGAAAACATATTTTTCTTTCGATTTTTGTGGAAAAGATCGATTCTTTCCCGAGGGAAACTAATGATTTTGTCCTAAGAATGTTTCTTTTTTTTTCTCTCTTCTGTTTTTGTGTTTTGTGGGAGACAGACGAAGCGACAATAAAGCGGAGACAAGCTTCCGAGTGATGGTAAACTCAAACGCAAACGCAAGCACAGACGTCAGCATGAACGCATCTTCGTCCTACCAACAAGAATCAGGTTCGTCACAAGCATCGTTATGGCGAGATTCTTCAGCGAACGTGGAATTCAAAACGCAGTTGAGCAATCGCGGGTTCTTCTTGGATCATACGCAGTTTAGCCCTCACGCGAGCTCGAGCGATAGCACCGTGACGTGTCAAAGTTTCGCGATGGACAATTCCTCCACCACTCTGTACTCAAACCCTAATTCGTCATCGAATGTGTTTCAAGGAACGTTCTTGGGGTCTGACCAACCTGATCGAAACCAGTCGTCGTCTTTGAGCTATTCACAGTACGGAAACTTCGGTCTGAGTCCTTTGCGTTTCTCTAACAACACAACGTTCTGGAACCCGACGGCGGCGGCGCATGACGTGTCGCCGAGATTCTTCCCGGCGGCCGCGTTACAGTCGCCGGAGATTCAGGCGCCGAGTTTCGAGGAGAAGCCAAAGGTACGTAAGTGAACAAAGCCCTCACAGTTTCATATTTTCCTTCCAGGTCCTCACATGTTTTCCTTGTTAACAAGTTACGGTAAATTGCAGTCCAATGACGGATTCATATATATATATATATATAACTTTATTTTCCGTGTTCATACAGAATTACTGATCCATATGATCCAATACATCATTTACTTGTCGTATTTTCGCGTTCGTTTTCATATTCTATTATTTTTTTAATGTATAATATATTTATCATTTTTTTCTTGAAGCAGAGTGTACCGGAGATTCGGGATCCGAGCACTGTCGCGGCGAAGAGAAGCGGCGGCGGTCAACCGGCGGCGAAAAGGTCTAAGAACGAGGCGGCATCTCCTTCACCAACTTTCAAGGTATTAGTGCGGCTTGTCCTTTTTTTTTTGAAATTTTTTTAATGCAATAGTTATATGCATATTTGAAAAAAAAATGTCCAAGAATGTATATAGAGAATGTTAAAAAATTTCGAAGTGATCAAAACTCCAGATAAACCCTAAAAACTTGAACAGAGTAATTGTCAAAATTAATGTACGGCCGACAAATTTATTTATACTACGATAAGTTCTTTATAAGCCAGTTTAACGATATATATATGTATATATGGACAATTCACAATATTGTCAAGTTATTTATACGTCAAAATTCAATTTAGGGCAGACGGATCTTATCATATTGAATAAATCAAATAGATTTCGTATATTGATGATGATATACAGTTGATGAAATACATCTATTAAATACGATACGTTATTTATATATAAATCCGAATGATATATGAATAATATCAATAAACACAATAACTATATATTGAAATTTTTTTGTGTTCATTCAATGCTAATGACCAAAATCCAAAATAATCTTACTTCCAAAGTTGAACCAATTAGTTTTCCCCAATTTATTTATTTCCACTTATCCTTTTCTTTTTCTTTTTTTTTTTCTATTTTTTATATTTTATTAAAAAATTTCTCGAATTAGGTGAGGAAAGAGAAGATGGGAGACAGAATCGCTGCGCTCCAACAACTGGTCTCACCTTTTGGAAAGGTTCTCTCTCTATCTCTCTCCACATTTTTGCTTTTACTTTTAGAAAGATGATGAGTATGCATTAGTATATTTGTAGCTATTCATAATTACTTGTCATATTTTCTTTATAATTTTGAATAAACGGAATATATATATATATATGTATATATGTATATATAGACAATAGATTTGGTTTTACTGAGTTCATGTGGTTTTGTGTCAGACTGATGCAGCCTCAGTGCTGTCTGAAGCCATTGAATACATTAAGTTCTTACACCAACAAGTTGCAGTAAGTCTTCCACTAATATTCTTGGTTACTTTTCCAATTTAATTTATAAACAAAACATTTTAATTTGTTGCGTATATATTTTTATAAATTATGAATCAGGCTCTCAGCAGCCCATATCTGAAAACTGGAGCTTCTTTACAGCAGCAACAGGTACTCTCTCTCTCTCTCTCTAATTATTACTACATATATATATAGTGGCATCTTATTATAGCTTTTGTACACAAATCATTATTATTGTTATTCTCACATAATTAAACGCATTCTCACATATTATTATTATTATATATGTGTACAAATCATGGCTGCTCTTTCCCACGGTTCCTTCGCTTTCAAGATTAGCCACACATTATTTCCGCATACTTTTTTTTTTTTTTTATACTCCGGAAGTTCACCGGGCCTTTGACCCAACTACATCTCCTAGAAGACCGGAGATTCCACAGAATTTAATCAAATACTATGACAACTTTTACAACTGCCTTATTATTCAGCCGTGAATGTTTCGGGTTTTAATTGGATTTCGATTCGTTTTTATTTTGGTTCATGTTTTTCAATTTAAGAAAAACATATCTATTTTTTTTTTTATTAATTTCGTTTCGTTTGGGAATAGATTTTCTTTAAAAGATCGTTTTCTGAAGAGTTTGTTATTATTTAGTTTTTTGGATTATTTTATTTTATTAATTTAATTTTAAAATGTGATGTCCTATTCATTTAAACATTTCATTCGGTTCGATTCGCATATCCAAACCGAAATATCTAACCTCTAATATTACATCATTAATTAATTAACTATAAAAATGTTGGAATTCATTCATTCTTTTTTTCAACTATCCATCTAATATAATACAGATTTGCGATCAATCCAAGGATCTGGAAGAACCGGAGCAAGATCTTAGAAGCCGAGGGCTATGTTTAGTCCCCGTCTCGAGCACATTCCCCGTGACTCATGATACTACGGTCGATTTTTGGACTCCCACGTTCGGTGGATCTTTTCGATAGATGGAAGAAAACTAACAAGAGTTTCGTGCTAAATTTTTACCCGATATCATGTCCGAGGTATTGAGTGCAAAGTATAAATTAAAATCTTATGACTAGAAGAAAGTACACACACGTGGGAATAACATTGATTTGAATGCAGATGAACATGTTAACGATAAGCATTTAAAGAAAAATATATAATTGGAGTATCATAGATAAGATATAATAAAAATTTGTTTAATTTGATACGCCATTGTTTCAATGTATTATTTTCTGAAAGAATAAATTAATTTATGTAATAAAGGTATACATATCATCATAGCTATTAGCTATATATATACAAGCTTTTGATACGTTCATAAGCCATTGCAATAGTAATTTGATAATGATTATAGTAATGTTCATTGTGGATAATGTATGAACTATGATCTATATATGTTAAGCACTTGAGCGATGATGGATAAAGCAATTAGGGGCCATCACCTTTATTCCGTATGCATAGTGGAATTATACCGAATTAAATTAATGTGTAGTTTTATCAGAACTAGATCAAAAAATCGTTTTTTTGTAATATTTTTCTAAAATAAAATTAACTAAATAAAAACAATTAAACGATAATGAAAATAATTGAAAACTTTTTTTTGTTAAGGAATAATTGAAAACTTCGAATGGAAATGATTTTTTTATAAAATTAAATATGAATTTCTAATGAAAGTGAAATCCGAATTAGATACGAATATAAAATCTAAATCAAATCGAAAACGACTGTAAAATCTAAATGAATATAGTTATTGTAAAACAAATAATCCAAACAAACAAGGATAAAATCCCTAAAAAACCTCCAACTTGTAAAAATATATACAAATAAACCTTCAACTTGAAAAACAATCATTCAATCCCCGAACTTGTAACTTGTCACTGAATAAAACATCGAACTTGCAAATTATTGTTCTAATAAACCTTTGACCGGTTTGACCACAATTTCAAACGATCGGAAATCCACGTATTGACGGATTGCTGATGTCATTTTTTAAATTAAAATTGATAACGTGTATAAGGTGATATCAGTAATCCGTTAATACGTAGATTTCTGATCGCCTGAAATTGTGGTCAAACCGGTCAAAGGTTTAGATCGCCTGAAATTGTGGTCAAACCGGTCAAAGGTTTATTAGAGCAATAATTTGCAAGTTCAAGGTTTTATTCAGTGACAAGTTACAAGTTCGGGGACTGAATAATAGTTTTTCAAGTTGAAGATTTATTTGTATATATTTTTGCAAGTTAGAGTTTTTTTAGGGGTTTTACCCACAAACAAAATACTCAAACTAAATATAAGAAAAAAAAAATACAACTTTGAAAGGGCTTTTTTTTTTTCAGCTGTTTAAAAGAGAATAATTAGATTCCATGAACGGGCGAGGGGATGAGTGGATCTGCATATTTTGATTTTAAAAAAAAAAGAAAAGAAAAAAAAACTAAGGATTTTGATTTGTTTATATATTTGGAATAATGTTAGTGGAAGATAGATAGTGGTGGCCCACAAGGTTCTTTCTTTTTCATGCTTCCGACATTCCTCTTCTTGCATTTGCATCCCTTAGCTTTTTGCATTCGATGTATAAATACAAATCGGAAAAATTCCATCGATCAAATAACATGTATACATAATTATCTATTGATTTCTTGTAACATTTACGAATTTTTCCAATGATATTTGCATCAAATATGAATCACAAAACTATATGAAATAAGGGTAAACCCCCTAAAAAACCTTCAACTTGCAAAAATATGTACAAATAAACCTTCAACTTAAAAAACTATCATTCAATCACCGAACTTGTAACTTGTCACTGAATAAAACATTGAACTTGCAAATTATTGCTCTAATAAACCTTTGACCGATTTGACCACAATTTCAGGCGATCAGAAATCTACGTATTAACGGATTGCTGATATCACCTTATACACGTTATCAATTTTAATTTAAAAAATGACATCAGCAATCCGTCAATACGTGGATTTCCGATCGTTTGAAATTGTGGTCAAACCGGTCAAAGGTTTATTAGAACAATAATTTGCAAGTTCGAGGTTTTATTCAGTGACAAGTTACAAGTTCGGGGATTGAATGACAGTTTTTCAAGTTGAAGGTTTATTTGTATATATTTTTGCAAGTTGGAGGTTTTTTAGGGATTTTACCCATGAAATAAACCCTACATCAAAGAGCATTTCAAGCCATCTTTTTTTATTATTGTTAAATGAAGGTGAAAAAGTAAAACTCACACGATATTGCTTTCAAAAACTTCATAACTGACTCTATTCATTTGTAAAGAATATGAATTACAACTCTTTTTTTTTGTTCGAACCTAATCCATCCCAAGAACACAACTCCCCCTGAGTTTGTTCCTCCTTACAACATGAATTCTATCAGTCCATACACTATGTGTGTCTCGCACACCCCGTGTAACCCTAGACTCGTATAGGCCCTTTGAGCGGTTCGCCTGTTTTTGAAGGCTCTCTCTCAGGTGCACTTCACTCTCTCTCAAGTATCACTCAGCCGTGTTTCCAATACCTATGATTCTCCAGCTCGTTTGCTCTTTGCTCTCTTTTTCTGTTCTGCTGGGATGCCTTTCTGTAGCTCCCATGTATTTATGTGTAACTCCTCTTCTTATTTCCAATATTTTTCTCAATATCTTCTTTTCCATTTTCTTGAAGTTTATTCCTTTTGCTTGATCTTTCCATTTTTCTTCAATGGCATGTTTCATTTTCTCTTGCAAGTCATTCCTTACATTGACATGTTTCTTTTTACTTGAGATCTTCTAGATATTGAATCTTCGCTTGATACTATTTCCTTGCATTAACAGAAGCCATCTTGTTTCTTCGTATGGATGATACAAAAAAAGAGATTTTATATTTAAACGGAAAAAAACATATTTCGTAATCTATTATAACATATAATAAAAGTATAAAATAAAATGTATGGGGAAATTTTTTTATTTAAAAATTGTAACAATTAAGTGTTTGAGCTTGCAATAATAATAATAAATTAATGAATAGATGAAGTTTTCCATATTTTTTGTCAAATAAAAATATACTTTTTTAAATAAATTAAAGTAATGACCTATATAACAATCAATATTGCGGCCAACGACTTTAATTCCATTTAAAAAAAATGCAAAAACCTCAATCCACGATCTCAATCGTATATAATATTTCTAAAGTTTTTACGAGGGACTAAGGAATATTATGGGGACCTTACTTTCATTAAAATCTACGTTTCATATGTCCCTTACATATGCATTGTTCCGAGCCTACAGATTTTGGACAAGAGAAATCGACTTTATTTAAATTTTTCTGTTAATAAATGAATTATCTAATATAATTTTCTTTTGTTGTTGTATTATATATACGAGTATAATCAATAATTTCCTATAAAATGATACTAATATACCAAAAATATCATAATTAATCATTTTAATTTCTCTGTCACTAGATTTTTTATGGGAATATTGTTCAACCTAATCTATTTTAAAATTCTGAGTTTGAAATACAACCAGATGTTATTAGTCTTTTATTCTAGATATTCAAAATTGAGAGGATAACCTTTGATAAAATTTAAAGCATAGAAGGAAAAAATTAGATAATTAGTTAAATTCAGAAGAAATTAAATGAATACACTTTTTGAGAGGAAAAATCGGAAAAATGGTAATAATTATGGAGAAAATTTTGCGGGTCCCTCAATAGAATGGATGGTTGTAGGCTTGTAGCTATTGTTTCATAGCTCAAAGGGACTCTGAAGGCTTCGGGCTAATGGGCCTGGGCTTTGTTAATTTTTATTGGGTTATTATGGTTTCATTTAATGGACATTCTATATATATTATGTTACTCACCTAAGACACCTCTCTAAAAATGTGTATAGCTATTTTTTAATATAAAAAATAATCCTTTGTAAATGAATAAAAAAAATTGAGAAACCATATTAAAATATAGAGTATGAATGAGGTAAAATTACTCACAGATAGATACTAATAATATATAGTTTAAGTTAGTTGATTTTAAAAAAAACCGATATCTAATATATCGTCCACCACTTAGTAAGATAGAAAATCCACAATAAAAAAATAAAAAATCTAATTTATATCGGAGTATTTTTATTAGTTTAAAATCGATTTTAATCAGTTTTTAGTGTCGGACCTTGACTGCACCTACGATTCATATCTTCTCGTCACCATCGAAATCGGAGACCTAATCGTCAATACGGTAAAGGCTGTCGTATAAAAATAATAAGAATTTACCTGAATCACAACCACCTGTAATCGCTATCAACAACGATCGATCAAGCGGTTACCAAACGCCTTGACAACGATCAACATCGCAAAAGCTAGTCGGAAGTATTTCGAATTGGTTTAAAAAAAAGATTTGTACCGATCCAAACTAAAAAAAAAAAAAATAGAATTAATTCGGCAATCCCAAAGATTTACTTCACGTAACCAAAGATTTACTCACTCTGTGGTGGAAACTCTTGAACATTTGACAAGTTAAAAAGCCCAGATAGTAAATTATAAATGGTATTATAAGATAAGGTTCTGAAATTTATTTATTGGACTGAAGGAAATATGATTTGCATAGTGAATGAGTGAAATGAAATTCATGAATTCTTTGAGTTTTGAGATTTGTGGATAAGATTGCAGCGGTGTAAAATGAATTTAATTAATCTAAGATACAATTAAGTTCAAATTAATTATTGTAAGCATTAAAATGAATTCTTTAAAATTTGAAAATTAGAGAAAATAAAAATCCCTTGGAATAGTTTTTATGGTACAATTTTGAATGCTTATTAAAAATACAATAAATGTTTTTTCCTTGCGAAATTGTGTGTTGAAATCGACACATTTGAATGAAAACATAAGTGAAGTGAAGGCTGAAAAAGCGAAAAGAGAACAGGGAAACCGCAAACCAAAGGAAAAGAATATAAGGAGAAAGAGGAGCGACGACGTTACATTTCTCGAATTCACGGAGCAATTTCGCAAAACCCTTTCTCTCTCTCTCTCGCTCTCTAGGAGGGGAACTTCGCCGCCGCGTTCTCGCCGTCCATGGAGCTCCTCCGATCCAATTTGTCTCGGGTTCGGATCCCCGAACCCACTAATCGCATCTACAAGCACGAGTGTTGCGTCACCTTCGATACTCCGGTAAACTCTCTCTCGCTCGCTCGCTTATGGAATATACAGATTGTTTTCTGGTTCGGATGCCTAGGTAGTTCTCCAAGCGGTCGGGAAGTTTTAAGTGGTTGGTTCCGCGTTGCTTCACTGTGTTGTGCCGTAGGGTTCCCTTGGGAATTTTCGTTTCTTCCGAGTGTTCTTTTGTTGGGTTTTGATTTTGACTTTTTGGTTCAATGGAAATGGCATAATCTGATTGTGATGATGCTGTGATGATTTTCAGAGATCTGAAGGAGGGTTGTTTGTAGACATGAACAGCTTTCTTGCTTTTGGGAGGGATTGCGTTACTTGGAACTATGAGAAGACGGGTAATCCCGTGTACCTGCATATAAAGCAGACTCCAAAGTTGGTCTCTGAGGATCGGCCTTTGAAGAAACCGACTTTACTGGCCATAGGTATATATGACGATTATGAAGCTGAATGTATTTAGATCTCGCACAAGGGTGCCTGGATAGATTTCGTATGATATCTCAGAATTCTTATCGTCAACATCTGTTAAACTATGTGCTTGTGCTTGCAGGAGTTGAAGGAGGTTTTGACAGTGGTGAGCCTGAGTATGAGGATTCTTACAGCATAGTTGTACTTCCTGATTTTGTGTCACTCCCATTTCCATCGGTTGAACTACCAGAGAAGGTATGTGCCATCTACTGTGATTTTACACTAACATGGGTTCCTGCCATATGCTGTGATTTTACAAGAACCCATGTTTTGAGTACGATTTAGCTTATGAGAACTTATTGCATGTATTTAGCTGGTTGCATTTTGTACTGCAGGTGAGATTGGCCGTTGACACTGTATTGCGCTCTGAAGGTGCTGAACGGAAAGAGCAACTTGCAGCTTGGACAGCTGACAAAAAGCAAGTTAGCGAATACACATTAAAACTGCAGCAGGTCAACAATGGTGTTGTTATTCCTCCCTCTGGTTGGAAATGTGCTAAATGTGACAAGAGGGACAACCTCTGGCTTAATCTTACCGATGGAATGATTCTTTGCGGAAGGAGAAACTGGGATGGAAGTGGTGGAAACAACCATGCTATTGATCATTACAAAGAGACAGGGTACCCACTTGCTGTAAAGCTTGGAACAATCACAGCTGACTTAGAAGCAGCAGGTAACGCTGTCTTATTTCCTAAAAGGTTCTTCCAGACTGTTGTATGAGGAATTCGTTTGGTTTAGCTTCAAGTAAAAAATTGAACATTGCTTGATGGAATTACCTGATTTAACAATCTTTGTGGATACCCTGAGTTCATTTTCAGCATCATTATCATATCCTATGCAAGTTAAAGGTGAATAGTGAGGATTAGTTTTTTTTTGTGTTATGTAAGATATAGTATGCAAAATAGTTTGCCATCATTTTCTAATTAATTCTAGTGCAGATGCATGACAAGGAATTTGGAATGGTTGTTCACTTTGTAAACAAATTTGTGTGGATTAAAGCTTCTAGATTATATTGGAGAGAAGAACTGTAGGACTGATGGTTTAGAATTGTTGACTGGTTCCTTTAGGATCACTGGTGAAAAATGCTTTCCCCTGGAACTTTCAGAGCTTTGCACTTGTAAATTATTAACCAAACACCATGTAACAATGCCAATTCTGAATCCTTGCTGAGAAAAAAGTTGGACTACTTTCTTGTACTCCACAGTAGGCACAGTAGGGCATGGGTGATGCTAGTAGTTTCTCTCTTCATGCTGGTGAGGAAGGTATCCTGCATCTAGTTGTTCATAAGTTGTGTAGATGGTCCTGTTCTTAGTAGTGGAGATTCTGATTTCTTCAGCACTTACAATGGCAAATCTTTTGGCAGCTCAGATGTTTTTTCCTATCCAGAAGATGAAAGCGTGTTGGACCCGCTTCTAGCGCAACATCTGGCCTTTTTTGGGATTGATTTTTCGTCAATGCAGAAGGTTAGTTCTGCATGATTATCTTCTAGTCTCACTGATGAAGCTCAGTCTATGTTTTGCAGAAGATTTATGGATTGAACACGTCTTTGGTAATTTATCACTGTGCTAGTTGGTAATGTTTTGTTAATTAAATTGGCCATTTGTTTGCGAAATTCGAAAATTTGGCCTTGGGGTTTGGTATATCAAATTATCAGGATATTAGTAATATCTTGTAGATATATGGTATATGTATGAGATGCTAAATGTTTCCTTTGCCTGGAGCAAGTAGCTTCATATCCATGGTACTGCATACTATTCTGTAATTTCAATTAATAGGAATTAGCTGCTGTATTGGTGAAAGTAATTTAAGGACATTTTAGAAGATTCTGACCCTTAATCAAATTCAAAATTTTAAATGTCCATATACTGCATTGCAAAAGTAAAAGCATTTGAATGTATAAGCTAAACCAGTGCTGCCCTTTTCTCTCCAATCACCCATTGCATAGATCTCTATTTAGAGGACCTTATCTGACTAATCTTAGATTCTATTCTCTAAGCATAAGGGTTCATTGGACTCTTGCTATTTCTTTACCTGTTTATATCTTCTCATCATCTTTTAGTAGATAGAAGAAACATTCAATTTTGACAAAAGATGGGTCAATTCAATGATTGAAGTCTCAGTGGACGTTTGTATTAATGGCCATAGACAGAAATGACAACAGCGGAGAGAGAGCTTGATCAGAATACCAATTTTGATTGGAACCGTATACAAGAGAGTGGAAAGGATTTGGAGCCAGTTTTTGGTCCTGGCTATACTGGACTTGTCAATCTTGGAAACAGGTACTCTTTGACAAAAGAGTCTTTGTTGAACAAAATTCCTGAGAATTTTTTTCTTGTCGAGATATTATATGCACTTTCCTTTTTCTTTTCAGCTGCTATTTGGCAGCTACAATGCAAGTTGTCTTCTCTACCTGTTCGTTCAATTCAAGGTCAGTATTTCTGATAAATGTGCTAATAGTAGATGTGTCATCCATGTTTCATCTTTACTTGTACATAACCCAAAAAAGTAATCTGCTCCGTTATTGGAATCCTCAATAATAAGTTGCTTCTGGTTTTGTTCTTGTGTGTGGACATGAAATTGATGCAGATACTTTTCAGACCAGAGCTTAAAAGAGGCGTTTGAGAAGGCGCCTGCTGATCCAACTGTGGATCTTAATATGCAATTGTGAGTTTCGATCAAAACAGCAACACCTGTTACAGTGTTTTGTACTATGGATTTTCTGCTATCATGGGATTAAGCTTTTGATATAATAATTACGAAGGAGCGTGGCATTATCATTGAATTTGGTATATGACTGTACTTAGTGTTTTTCACACACTATTTACAGATTTCCTATGATTTTTTCATGCCTTTGCCACGAGGTGACAAAGTGCGCCTGTAGTTCTGAATGTTCATTCCTGATGTCCCTTTTCTTTGTGGCAGAACAAAGCTGGGATACGGTTTACTATCCGGAAAGTACTCTATTCCAGCACAAGAGGTATGTGCACTTCAACAAGAGAAGTTTCATTTCCGTGTTATATATATATATACACATATATTTTTGAATTACGTTTTCCTTTTGGCTTAATGAGTTTTAATTCATTTATATTTGTAGAAGGATGCTGCAACTGGAGATGCTGTAAGTTTCTTATAGAATTCTAACAATCTTTAATCAACACGTGTTATTAACTTACCCATGCAGCTGTTAAACATGTCTGCTGAGTGAGCACGAGTTTGATAAGCATATCAATCTTTTGGTGCTAGTAATATGTTTTTGCTTTCTATCATTTTTTTCTCATTTTCAGTAATTCTATGTTCCCAGAACCATTACTTTTATGAAAAACTTGTATAGAAAGTAGACAGAAAAATAAATGCGCATGTTTTCAGCCGCTTGATCTTGTGCTCTTCAAAAGTTTAGACATCACTGTGCCTGAACTTGAATTATGATCTTTGTTCACCATATATGTTTCCTGTTTTTCTCTTAGTAAAAGTTACAAATATTGTTCTGTTGATTTGTTCTCTTTGCATCTTTTCCCCTTTGATTAATATTAGAATTACAAAAGAACACGTGCTGGAATATTGTGTTACCTGTCATTATTTGACTATTGTGGGAAACAGCACTGAATCGTGTGAGTGCCAGAAAAATGCAAAACCACATAATCCTGTTCGTTAAGAGTTAGATTCTTGTTTCTTGAATACATGGTTTTTCGGTTTCTTTTCTTGGCAAAAACTTCGAAAGTTGTTCTGTTAACTTCTGAATACTTCCCATATTTCTCTCTTTGGTCAATAATAGAAACAGGAAGGCATACCTCCTCAAATGTTCAAATCAGTTATTGCTGCTAGCCATCCTGAATTCTCTTCAATGAGACAACAGGTTAGCTTCAGAAATTTTCTTCTTCAGAATTCTGTGTATGTTGTGTTTGAGAGTGTGCGTTCTTCAGTCAACTGTTACCTAAGTGTGTTTCAACAAGCCCAAGTCATGAAGTATCTCAAACTCATTCTTGGAGATAATTTTAACTAGCACCATTCTGTCTTGTAGGACGCTCTCGAGTTTTTCCTACATTTGCTCGACCAGGTTGAGCGTGCCAACAACGTCATTCCTGAATTAGATCCTTCAAGAAGTTTTAAGTTTGGAGTAGAAGACAGAATCCTTTGCCCCTCTGGAAAGGTCTTATATAATAGGAGGCATGACTACATTCTCTCTCTGACTATTCCCCTGCATGAGGCAACTAATAAAGGTATATTCAGTATGTTGCTTCCTTTATTCATATTCTTTTATTCTTTGCTTGTTTTCTGATTACTTTTTCTGCTTCTTGGCTGTTGTTTGTGTATCCAGACGAACTAGAAGCCTTCAAAAATCGGAAAGCAGCAAAAGGATTAGAGGGGAATGATATGTAAGTATAGAGTCTGAAACTTCATGCATCTAACGTTTTATCTGGATATCTTTTGAGATACTTATAGCCAACAGGTCGAGCGAGGAAGTTGTACGTCCACGAGTACCTTTGGAAGCTTGTCTAGCCACTTTCTCATCACCAGAAGAGATTCATGAATTTTATAGCACTTCCTTGAAGACCAAGACAACAGCTATCAAGTACACTCCTTCTTCCCTGAGTCAATCTTTTTCTACACTGCAGGAAATATACGTTCAATAAAGACCCAATGACTGTGGACTAAGACTAATATCTTTGGGGGTTAAACTTTTTGTTTCGTTTTTATGCAGGACCACTGGCTTTACATCTTTCCCTGATTATTTGGTCTTGCATATGCGAAAGTTTGTTATGGAGGAAGGCTGGGTCCCAAAGAAACTCGGTCTCTTTCTGAAATTCCTACCATCGCTTCTCTTTTTATACTCCTGTATAATACTAATATTTCTATTTCCTGATTTTCTGCACCAGATGTCTATATTGATGTTCCTGATATCATTGATATCAGTCACATGCGAAGCAAGGGGCTTCAACCTGGAGAAGAACTGTTACCAGATGATGGTATGCTGTTACTTCTCTAGTTTATTTTCGAGTATGGTGTTGGATATAGTTCTTTTGGAAGCCGGATGATTTTGTTAACTAATGATATGCATGACCTTGTGCATTTTCATGATACTAGTCTATAACCTTTTTTGAATCTGCTGTGGAATTAGCACTTGGGATTTTATTCGGTACCTCCCAGGACTGTGTTTTGATTAATCTATTCGGAGCCCAAGTTCAGTTAAATTGACATACTTATTTCAATAATCTCCTTGTCTGAGAAAGCATTTACTGTGAACGTATGACAGAACTTGGAGTTCCTTTGATTATACATTGTTGAAATGCCATATTACCTGGTGCTTTGTCTGGTGATATTGTTTTGAACTCACTACCCTAAAATATGAAAACCGAAACATATTTTTGTAGCTGTGGGTACTGAAATTATTGGATGATCCTTGGAACCACTTCACTGTGGTGCCAATTTAAATTCTGTTTGTTTTGTTTGTGCCCATTATAAACACACAAGTACATTGTGGTGGCAAGTGGAATTCCTTTGTCTCGACGAAACCCACAAGTATACACTCCCCATGAAAGAATCCATTTTACAGCGATCAATATGGTCAAAGTGCATAATATACCTTATACATAGGCCATTATTGAGCTTCCTAAATACATGCCTATTTTCTTGGATATGACTTTGTTTTGTTTTTGTGTCTCCATGTGATTTATACTTGTTGATTATGGTATCTTCCCTAAGCTACTGGATGTTTTTAATTTTTGTTCTTTCTTGTTTTCCTGCTCTCCTCTTTCTTGCATATGACATTGATAGTCAAGTCTATTGTCAATGGAGTTACTCATTTCTGCTGCACAGTTCCTGAAGAAGAGATGGCATCAGTGAAGCCTGTGGCAAACGAGGAGATAGTTGCACAGCTTGTCTCGATGGGATTTAACCACCTTCAATGCGAGAAAGCTGCCATAAATACTTCAAATGTAGGGGTCGAGGAGGCAATGAACTGGTTACTTTCTCACATGGATGATCCAGGTATTTAAAATGGGAATAGCAGCCGACAGTCAGTAGCTGGACTTCTCATATGTAGTTGAGCAAGTTACGATACCAGTTTCTAATGGACACGCGTTTCTTTTGTTTCAGATATAGATGCTCCCATCTCCCAAGGCACGTCTGCCGTTGATGAGTCAAAAGTTGCTACCTTAGTCTCATTTGGGTTCTCGGAAGAGGTTGCTCAAAAGGCACTGAAGGCTTCGGTATATTTGCATGACCCTTTTGGTTTTGGGTTTTTTGCTGTCTTCTTTTTTCGTTTGTCTTGAAATTTACTTGCTTCTGGAATGTTATCAGGGAGGCGATGTCGAGAGAGCAACAGATTGGATATTCAACAATCCAAATGCTTCTGTTTCTGATATGGACGTTACATCAAACAACACTGCACCTACTCCCACTGATAGTGCATTACCTGATGGAGGAGGAAGTTAGTTTCTTAAACTCCACTTCGTTATCTTGTTTTCTCTTTTTTGAAAGACATTGCCTTCTTTTATGCACAGTTTCCTCTTTGCTTAGAATGATTCTATAGGAACATGAATTAGCATGTTTACGACTTGAATTTTCACCGGATAGTGAAAATAATCGTGAGATGTAAATGTAATTAAGCATTCTTGTTTTTCGGTCTGAAGTGCATGCTAAATATGCATATGGATTATGAATAACATGTTACATATAGCAAAGATTGCACCTTTTCACTCCCTTTTCCTCTGTACGTGGTGCATTAGGATGATTTTTTTTTTTTTATAACAGGATGAATCTTTATTGCCATATTTTGGCATTAATCTCGTATGATGTTATTCTTTTATTCTTTGCGACATATCTAACACATACGGTTTCTCACAACGCAGAATACAGGCTATTCGGGATAATAAGCCACATGGGAACATCAACTCATTGCGGACACTACGTTGCTCACATACTAAAAGACAAACGATGGGTTATTTTCAACGATAACAAAGTCGGTATCTCGACCAATCCTCCGAAAGACATGGGCTATCTCTACTTCTTCCAGAGGCTTCAAGATTGAAAAAAAAGGGCCTCAAAAGGTACAAAAATGAAGGTGAGTGAACTCAAAATCTGAAGCATAGAAGCAGACAGTCTAAATGAGTCTTTATTAGAAATCAGGGTTTAGGGCTTTTATTGGACTTTGCGTGGTGTTTTTTGCAGCTTAGTGACTCCAAAGTGAAACCCTAAGTGATCAGTGTACTTGTGAATTGGTCCTCAAGCTGCCTTTTTTAAGGACCCATTTTGTTGAATTGCTCTGCTCTTTCCAAAGTTTTAAATCCTTTGAAATTCAAAGCTCATTTGCTTCATCATCTCTTCTGACATCACACAGTATCTCTTGTTTTTCTTTTTTTTTTAATCCGAGATTTTCTTATTACACTATGGTATATGTGATTTTGTTCCGCAAACAAAATTCTCACAGGGTAGAAGGCGCCATTGTATGTGTAGCCTTGAAAGATCACAGCTTTGTTTGAATTAGATGTGTCTCAAACATGCATTATTGACTTTGAGATCCTCGAATGGTACCATTGTACTGCCGAGGGCATAGCCTCTGATGGAGTTAGCGGACTCGAGCATTCTCTATGGCTGATAAACAGCTCTTATATCACAGATTATCATCTATTTCTAAGGAAAAAAATATCAATTTTGATGCAGTATTCTAGCCAATAATATTCTTTTGTTAGCAGCCCTACGATATGTAATTCCTTATAGAATAAATAATTCTAAACTAAAGACGAAAAATATTAATGTGTACGCCCCATTCATATATATAAACTCTCCATACCATAACAGTACGATTTTATTCATTAATTTGTTGAGGTAGGATACATATATGCGGCCCGTACGTTAAGAGAATACTTTGTCGCTCAGACAGTAGCGTCCAACGACGGACCAAACCCGAAAGGCAACTGGTTGTCGCAATCAAGATTGTCGCCAGGAGTCACCCCAAGAATATCACAGTACCTCTTGTAGAAGCCGATGCGGCTCCTGGCTCGAGCATCCTCATGGATCCCGCACTCGAGCCCTCCATTGATGATGTTGGTGATGGCTCCATAGCCAGCAAGTCTTCCCGCTCTGACGTCATTTTTTGATGGCACCCACTTGCTGGTTATAACTTCGTGGCATGAGGGTTTCTGGGCTTGTGGCGTCATCCAAAACCATAGGGCCGTTTTGAAGGAAATGACACTGTCGTTGGCCACATGGTCGGGGTTTCCGAGCAAGTCCAAGCCTAGGGCTTCTCCGCATGGTCCGTAGTTGTGGTTCCTTTACGTCAACATGCAGTCAAAAGTATAAGCAAAGAACATAAAAACAAGAAAAGGGCATCATCTCTTGATATGTGTATATATTTGTGTGTAAGTAGAGAAGTGGTGGAACCAGCTGAGTTGAAAGGGACCCCTGCCGAAGTAGCGTTTGCCAGGAACACATTGCCACCGGCTGCTACCGGGTTCGCAGTAGTCGGACCATGGCTCGACCTCTTCCTTGATGCAGTATCCCCACGCGTATGGTTCATCTGGCGCGGTTGGCTCTTCTCCTGTTATCCCGTTATACATTTTTTCATTCTCATTCATAGTTATAAGGTAAACATTTGAAATTTAACTACTGTAGAAGTTACAAATATACCGTTAGTCTCATGGGAGGTCTGACCAAAGAAGGCGACGATCTCCCTCTTGCGGGTGGCTTCATCGCCAGTGGTGCCAAAGCCTGGGAACGAACTGGCGGCCTTGAGAAAAGCGTCGTAAGTGTAGAACCCTCTAGCTGAACAAGCGGGATTGTTCCTGTGAGGAAGCATTTGTTCGAACAGCGATCTTGATATCAGTTTAGAAACTGGCGGTGGAGATCGAGGAGAAGCGATGTGACACTGGCTCTGGCATCCTTCCCCGCAATGAGCGTTCGAGATTCCGCACCATCCCCATTGGCTGCAGCATTTGCCATTTGGACACAATGTTCCCCCGTTTTGCCACCCACATTGTTCAACTGAAGGCAAATTTATCAATTATGAGATATTATTAATACCTCCGGAAGAAAAAAACTTCATTTTTCTTATACTTTTTATTAAAATGAATCATTATTCACATTATATACATAGGTATATATGTATATATATGTGTATACATATATATATGTATGTATATGTGTATATATATATATATGTATATTTGTATGTATTAAGGGTGAACACAAATACTCTAAAATCGGGTATTCGTCGATACCCGTCCCGTAGATATTCGATTTTAGAGAACTCAAAGCTATCCAAATCTAAATTTAAATTCGAATATTCGAATACCCATGAATCCAAATCTAAATTCAGATAATAGAATTTTTAAAAACGGATATCCGCAAATACTCGACTAGTTTTATAATAGATAATTATATCCTATATCTATATAATATTTTCAAAATATAATTATTTAGCTAAATAATTTCACATTTCTCAATATTATCTCCCAAAAATTAAATTTATTATTATTTCTCTTATTATCTCTCTCTATTTTATACTTTTACCGTAATCCATCCATATTTATAGATATATCTTTATTTTTTTAAAAATTTTATACATAAATATTGTTATTTTTTAAAAAATAATCCGTATCCAATATCCGCAAAATACCTAAACATTATTCTGGATACTTGTAAACTATAAATCCTGAATATAAATCTTAAAATAAGATACCCAAATCTTATGGATACAAATCCAAATACCTTTTTAAGTTTTTAAGTATGTGTTCACACTTGTGCCCATCCCTAGTATGTATCAGGGCCGTCTTAGAGCATGTACAACTGGAACATTTGTACAGGACCCATAATTAGGGTGAGGCCCACATTTTTTTTAAAATTATTATATTTATAATTTAACAGTACTATTTATTAAAAAAAATTAAAAAAACAAATTTTTTAAGTTTTGTTTAATTCACTTAAAAATATTTTTTTTACACTTTTTCAAATGAGCCCATTAAAAAATATTTTTTTTTTTATAAATTTATAGTATTTAATATAAAATTAAGATCATTTTTTCGAAATCATTTGTCGTAATAATCAATTAATAAATATTTTGAGTTATATGTAATCACCATATATGAAATTCACAATTTATTTATATTAATATCATTAAATTTATTAATTAATATAGTTTATAATTATAATTTTTTTTATAAATCTAAAATAAAATATATATTATCCTAGAATAATATTGATCTTTTAACTCCAATTATTAAAAAAATTATTTTTTTTATATCATATCATTCATGTTAAATATTTATTTTTAAAAATGATAAATCTTTAAAATATAATTTTTTATATCTTTTAATTATATAATATGATTATTTATTATTTCTAATAATATTACTATTATCACAATGATTGTTATTAACATTTTAATAATATTTATAAACATTATATTTAATTTTTTTAAATTAAAATTAAAATTTAAAATTAAAATAAATATTTTTTTTGTATAGGGTCCCGAAAATGGTTGGAACGGTTCTGGTATGTATATATATATATGTATATATCATGTGTAAGATACGTTTATATTTTTCTTTTATTATCGTTATTATTATTATATTGTTATTTTTATTATTTACTATCTTTTTTATCTAATTTTATGTGGTAGCTTACGTGGTATTGTCTGTCTCCATTTTTTAGGACGTGCGTCGAGGGGCACATATTTTGCAAAATTTTTACAAAATACATATATATATATATATATATATATGTGTGTGTGTGTGTGATTAAGTACCGTGGCATTGGCTCTGGCAACCCTGTCCACAGTAATCGTCTGAATTGCCGCACCATCCCCATTGGCTGCAACATTGGCCGTTTGGACACAATTTCCCCCCGTTTTGCCATCCACATTTTTTGGCTGAAGACAGATTTATCATAAGGACTTCATTTTTTTTACTTATATTTAGAGAATATCGACAAAAAATCATGTATTTTTTCCTTGTCGACAAACTCTGTATTTATACTAAGTCATATATATATATATACACACATACATATACAAATTTACATACATATACACATACATATATATATATATACACATACATACATATATATGTATATGGATATAAATATCTATATACATGGGCAGACTCACTTTATAAACAGTCGGATCACATGCCCCCGTGATTTAAAAAAAGTCTTCTATAATTTACTTTTTCATCACATTTTTTTCTTAGGTTATATATACATTACAATATCCACATACCCCAATTAATTTTTTTGTCCGCTACTATCTATAGATATATATACATAGATATACATATATATATATATATATACAGAGATATATATGTACATACATATATGTATATGTATGTATATCTATATATGTATATGTATATACGTATGTGTACATGCATCATGTTGCATATATCACGTATGCGTAAAATATGTTTATATTATTATTGTTATTATTTATTTAATTCTATGTGATAGTTTACGTGGTGTCACGTTAAATTTTCATTTGTATTTTTTATGGCGGCTGTGTTAAGGGAAAATTTGCTAAATTTAAATACCGTCGCATTGACTCTGACATCCTTTCCCACAGTAATCGTCCGAAGCGCCACACCATCCCCATTGGCTGCAGCATTGGCCGTCTGGGCACAATGCTCCCCCGTTTTGCCATCCACATTGTTTGGCTGAAGAAAAATTTACCACAAACAGATGATGAGATACGACTAATATTTCTAGAAGAAAAAAAAAACTCATTTTTTTACTTTTTTTTTTTATAATTGAAATGAATCATGCATGATTCAAATTATACGCATGTAGTGACGTCCACCAAGCTTCATGTATGATCAAGAATGAGTAGCAGAATCAAATTGATTCAACCAAATGAACACCTTAACAGTTTCTATCATTTTTGTTGATTGTGTGACTTAAGAACTCGAACCAAAATGAAATTTATGCAGAAGAAGAAGGAGAAATGTCGAAGAAGTGGCTAAAATTGAGGCAGAATGAGGAGCAGTTTTGTCAAGTTACATTTATGTGTTTTGAATTTATATTAGGTAATGCTTTATTCAATAACGGGTACTAATTTTGCTTTTTAAGAGCAAGTGATGTTGGCCGTAAGAATTATTGCAGATTTTGGTATATTTTTTATAATTAGGAGTTTCACTGAGTCTTCAGTCTACTTTAATTTTTCAGGATCCGAAATCAGTCTTTAGTCATGCAATTAATTGCGTTTGCTTCTCCCCACTAATGAAATCGAATCCAGAATCTTGAAATAATTTTGTTACCTCTTAATTAGTGGATATTATGCTAATCTGTTACTAAATGTATTGTAGAAAAATCCAATAATTTTTTTTATCTCCATGGGCAACGGTAACAGTAGAGATGAGTTCTGATTATTGTATACATTGGATTGTTAAATAACAATCATCATATTTTGTAATGCATTCTCTTTTCCAAAAATATGTCCGGTCTTTTTTGAGCAAAAAAATGATGAACCGATCTAAGTTTTCTATCAAGAATATATAAAGCAAAAGTCTAAACATATATGCGAGGATCGCAGGTCACCTGGCGAGGGAGGAAGAGGACCGTGGCATTGGCTCTGGCAACCATTTCCACAGTAATCGTCTGAAGTGCCGCACCATCCCCATTGGCTGCAGCATTGGCCGTTTCGACACAATGCTCCTCCGTATTGCCAGCCGCAGTTTTCGGCTGACCCAGACCACACCATAACGGATGATGAGAGTGCTACTAATATTACAGCAAGAGGCTTCATGTTTGTTTTTTTTGCTTTTGTCTTTTTGGTTGGATTTTTTTTGCATGTGATCGAGGGGTGTATATATATTGCTGCCCGGCAATCTTTAAATGAGCAAATTATTCAAGTTAGGGAAAATCATATGTAAATAGAAAAACTTTAAAAGATTTATAAAAATAATTAACTCCCAATTAAATCACGAATTTTATAAAATACTCCTAGAAAACTACACGATATTTGAAGTCGATTTTTGTTTGACACGTGGGTTTTTAAAAGTCTATAAAATTCCATGTATTTTTTTATATTTTTTTTTAAGATTCGAAGGTTTAAGTAGGTATTAAAAAAACGTTTGTGTACTCTTTTTAAAATTTTAAAATTTATGTATTAATTTGGGATAACAAATTATACATGGCATTGTAGTGAAGTCCTCAAACTAAGTGTAGGATCCACAATGAGCAGTAAAATCACATTTACTTCATTGTTTTTTCTTCGTTCCTATCCTCCAACCACTCCGAGGAAAAGCTTAAATGTTACTATCCTTCGATCTCCAAATTGCGAGAATTTCTACTTGTTGTCATTTATTTTTTTTGTTAATTTCACCCATCAATTTTATTTGAAATCTCATACTTTTAGTCTTTGAAATAGATAACTCATCCCTTTATAAATACGATTTTCCTTATTCTTCATATATATTGGTCTAACGTTCAAGAAAATTTTCAATTTAGTCATAATATAACTAAAACCAAAACAAGAATCAAGCAACCCCGTATTGAAACTCTAATAATTGATGAGTGAAGGCAATATATTACATGCTTCCCCACACATTTATCTGAACGTTTTTATCGTGTGCGTGCACTTATGGCTCTGTTTTGTCTTGGGCCAGAGTGCTGAGCCGGTCCAAAAATTATTAGTGAGAAATAAATTCTTCCAACATGATATTATTTTGGTTGTCCATAGATGTGATTGATCATCCAACAACTAATGCAAATGTTGTAGCCATATAACCCAAAGTTTTTATTTTGGTTAAATGATACAGCCGTAAGTTTTCCGTCGAGTTTGAGCTTTCCGATGAACAAATCGATATCGTAATCAAGCAACACACGAGATTTACATGTTCGGATTGACAACGTAGTAGTTCTACTCACGTCCTAGCCTTATGGACTCAATGTTCTTCCGTTCGAACATTTCACCTGAATAAAGATAGGAATGTCCTTTATTCTTGGAGTATTTGTAAAGATATTTTGAAGAAGAAGAAGCTTACTGATTTAACAACCTTAAACCAGTTTTGAACCGAAATTATGTACGCAATCTTCGGTTCAATTCGGATTTTATACCGTTGAGGTTTTGTATTAACGAATGAAGAATATGAAGTATGTACAAAGTTAGTCACAATTTGTTTTTTTTTAATCCGGAAGTTCATAAGGCCCTTGGCCCAATTACATCTTCCACATAACTGGAAAAGTCCAGGTGAATACCCCTCCTCACGCATAGATTTGAACCTGAAATAAGAGAATGTTTTGCATGTTCTCTTAGTCACAATTTATTTTTCCTACTATACACTGTTGAAATAGGAAAATAAATATGTGATTGAAAAAAATATGGATTTTGAGATATTATTGAAAATAATAATGAACATAATATTATGTTAAATATTGTATATCATATTTGTTTCCGTTATATTTATATTTCTTTTTTTACTATATTTATTAATTTTTCTATAAATATATGAGTTATTTTCATTATAATATAAGAAAAAAATGTAACAATAAAATAATTACATTTTTTTTTATATTTGTCTTATTTTATTTCCATATTTTATTTTTCTATATAGTCGTGATCACTCATTTTTTTCAATAATTCAATGTATATTGTGATCCATCTCCAATATCAACATTTTATCAATTTTTCTCGTGAGGGCAATCTTTTTCCTGTACTTGTTTGCTTGTATTAATGAAGTTATAGCATGAAAGGTGCATTTGAAGAATCTTTTCTGATGATCTTTGTCCCGTTATATTATTTGTTTTCTCTTCTACGTCGGTTTCATATTGTGAGTAATCCAACCACTCTTAACTGTTCATAAAGTTTAGGTCTTTGTATGAACCATGTTCTTCATCTACAACTAAAGTTCCTGAAGTAAAGATCTTTGTCAATTCTTTCAGGAAAAAGAAGGAAAAGAGCCAAGAAAACAGGTGAAGCTTCTGATGCAAGAAGAAGTTTTGAGCAAAGTAAGTTTCTGAGTCGAAGAGAGGGTTAGACTTGAGCAATGACAGTGTGGGAAGTCCATTAGAAAAACCGTTGAAGCTCTTGCTTCTATAAGAACATAGTGTTGAATCTATGAAGAATGAAATCTATGGTTTAGAGAATCCAATGTTGCAAGTTCGAGAGGAGATGACATAAATGAAACTACTTCCAAAAGACATGGAAAAAGTCTGCAGTGCTAGAAGATTCTATTATGACCGTTTGGTCCTAAATCAAGTGTCACTTGATGATCACAAATTCCATTAAATCAGCCAAGAGGATTACAAGCTAAATCAAGATCAATCAAGGCTCTACTTACCATATATAATGCATATAATCTCTTCTTTCCTTATTTAAGATTTTCCAGCCGTTGACTTTGATTTTATTAGTTTAGAATATTGTACATTTTTGTCTATATATTATGTAAAAATTGTCATTAGAATGTAAGGGAATAAACAAGGGACTTAGTCCCATTTCTTCTTCGTCATCATTCTTCGCCACTTCTCTTCTTCTTCATTCTAGCTCATTTTTACATCATTTTACACGACCAAAATTCTCTCACACACTAAAATTCACAATAACTTTGGAAACCTCAGAAAGTGTGCTTGAGTTTTTATTCATTGGCTTAAGTTTGCAAAACTTGTTCTCGCTTCGTTTGGTTGGCGGATTTGGTTCGGGATCGAGATTGATATTGGTTTCGAGACCAAGGATACTACACTCATTGAAAATCGAGTTTTTTCATCTTTCTCTCATCCACTTTTTTACATTTCATCCATTTGATTTCAGTTATAGTAAATTTCAAGCTTGTCTAAGTTGATTACATGACCTAATATATGAAGCAGTTTACTCTTTGGTTTGGTTTTTGTTCATTTTTTTTAAACAAAGGTTCCCTCTATTTGAAGAAATAATCAATTTTAGCTTGTTGTTTTGGTTTTGGTCCGTTTTCGTTAGATTTGGCCGCAACGGTACGGAAAAAAATATTTGATTCAGTCGGTTTCCTCGTGGAATTCTAGGGAATTAAAAAAAAATATTCTGAACCAGAGATTTAAAAGATGAATCGAGAAATATACAGAAATAGCAATAGGAGATAATGAATGGGTAGAAATTTTTTTTTAGGAAGATTCACTTTCTTGGGTAACAAGAAAACATTTAACTCATTTGTTGGTCGGATAAAGTTTTAAAACCTGTTTCGTTTTTCAGAATTTGGAAATAAGAATCACATCTCTTAGCTACGTTAATTAATGTATTTAAATTAATATATTTGAGGATTCAAACGGTAGGTCATTCAAGCATCTCTGTTAACAAAATTGGCATTGTAAACAATATTATAACAGATTTACCTGTAATAACAAAAATCGGCGAGTTTTTGGTAACTATATAAATTTCTTTACTAAAAATAGAAATTCTACATTCTATAACATCTCTCTTCGGTAACCACGAAAAGCTAGAGGCTGAGAAAAAGAGGAAAGACACCGTTTTATTCATCTTCGTCCATTTTCTTTTTTCTTTTATAAGCATTTTTCTTCGAAACTAAGAGAGGGTTTCGCTTTCTGAAATCCCCAACTCCTCCTGTCTTAGATCCTATTCTAGGGTTTGTGGCGAAGTTTTCTTGCTGCCTTGTGGTTCAAGAAATCCAGGGTGGTGAGAAAACATAATGAAGACTACCAAAGCTAAAACCGGCATGAAGATACCTTGGGACCGGTATTTCAGCTATTCATTCACTTTGTTGATCATTGTACAGGTTATTCTGTGGGATAATTTCTGCAATGGTCAAGATTACGGGACCCCGAGCGAGGAAGAGAGCTCGGATCCGCCTCCCGAGATGGCGAAGTGCAATGGGATATACATGAGTTATACCTTCAGCGGGCGAGAAAAGGAATACCCTCACGTCAAGAACATTACCGCGCAATCTTGGGCGTTTAGGGCGAACGCGATGATCATTAACGTCGGGACTGAGGAGGTCAAGGGTTGGCAAATGTTCATCGGCTTTCGTCACAAGGAACTCATCGTTTCAGCAAACGGTGCCTCGCCTTTTGACGGGGATTTTCCCTTGGATGCAAGCAAAGGAACGACGTTCATTGGATCGAGCAACACGGATTTGAAGACATCCATTGAAACGGCCGGAGATTACAATCAGATATCGGCAAATATCGAGATCGTAGGGACTCTTTTCGGGGTGAAACCGAGTATCACACCAATGCCTAGTAACATCAAGCTCACAAATGACGGTTGGCAATGCCCTGCTGCAAAGAGACGAGGTTGAAATCACCGATCTTCTCTCGTTTCGTAACATTTTAACTTTGTTATGATTGTCGAGGAATAACGTTGGTTCTTGTACAGGAGGAAATATGCATGTTTGCTGCAAGAAGAACCCTAAATTAAAGGCTAAACCACCACCACCAAAGACGAAATTCGCACCTAGAAGATACGGGGATCTGAATATGGTATACGACGTACTTCAGGCATATGGTAACAACTACTTAGCCCAAGTGACGATTGATAACAATAGCCCATTAGGGAGGTTGGATCATTGGAATTTAACGTGGGAATGGATGCGAGGTGAGTTCATTTACTCAATGAGAGGCGCTTATACGCACAAGAAAGATGCTTCTGAATGTATATACAGCAAAGCCGGACAATACTACGGGGACATGGATTTCTCACAAGTCGCGAATTGTCAGAAAAGGCCTAGCATTTCAGATTTGCCACCCGAGAGGAAGGACGACAACGTGACCGGAAAGTTACCCTTTTGTTGCAAGAATGGAACTCTATTGCCACCTACTATGGATCCTTCAAAAGCTCGATCTATCTTCCAGTTGCAGGTAATCCCGAGAAGTTGGTTTAATGGCCAATCACTTGGATTTAGGGATATAATGAAGTGGTTGAACATTGCAGTTTGATAAGAGTTTTCGTTTCTTTTTGTCGATTTAAGGTCTTCAAGATTCCACCTGACTTGAATAGAACAGCTTTATACCCACCACAACATTGGAAGATCGACGGTGTTCTCAATCCGCAATACAAATGTGGACCGCCCGTTCGTGTGGACCCGACACCGTTCCCTGACCCAGGCGGCCTTCAAGCCACGACTTACGCCATGGCAAGTTGGCAAGTAGTTTGCAACATAACTAGACCTAAAGCTCAAACATCGCGATGTTGTGTCTCGTTCTCCGCTTTCTACAACGACTCTGCTATCCCTTGCAACACTTGTGCTTGTGGCTGCAATGACATCGATACCGACACATGTAACGCGAATGCAAGCCCTATGCTCCTCCCACCCGATACGCTCCTCGTGCCTTTCGATAACCGTACATTAAAAGCAAAGGTGTGGGCCAAACAAAAGCACATGCCTATTCCGAAGAAGCTCCCTTGCCCTGATAACTGTGGAGTTAGCATAAATTGGCATGTGAATACCGATTATAGAAACGGTTGGACAGCGAGAATGACGATATTTAACTGGAAAGAAGTGACATTCGAAGATTGGTTCGCAGCCATTGAGATGGGAAAGTCCGGTGAAGGGTACGAAAATGTCTACTCCTTCAATGGCACACGTCTCTCACCCAACAACCGAACCATTCTCTTCCAAGGCCTTCCGGGTTTGAACTATCTCGTGGGCGAGGTAAACGGGACGAATCCGACCAAAGATCCACGCGTGCCCGGTAAGCAACAATCGGTTATCTCCTTCACCAAGAAAGATATTAACGGTCTAAATATCCCGGGAGGAGACGGATTTCCAACCAGAATATTCTTCAACGGAGAAGAATGCGCGCTCCCGAAACATTTCCCGAAGAAAAACGCGGGCAACAAGCACCGAATCAGCATCTTAACGTCCCTCGTTTTTGCAGCGGTCTCGGCTTTGGCACTTATGATGGACAGTTTGCTGTGCTGACGAGGAAGAG